GATGTGGAGATGCTCCAGGCTGTGGGGATGCTCCGGGATGTGGAGATGCCCCAGGATGTGGGGATGCTCCGGGATGTGGAGATGCTCCAGGACGTGGGGATGCTCCGGGATGTGGAGATGCTCCAGGACGTGGGGATGCTCCGGGATGTGGAGATGCTCCAGGCTGTGGGGATGCTCCGGGATGTGGAGATCCCCCAGGCCGTGGGGATGCTTTGTGCTGTGGGGATGCTCCACAGCTCAGGGACGCTCTGCAGCACGGGGATGCTCCAGGAGGTGGGAATGCTCCAGGATGTGGAGATGCTCCAGGCCGTGGGGATGCTCCGCCGCTCAGCGCCGCTCCGCCGAGCGCTGCCGGGCGCAGGGGCAGCCTCCCCGCGCGCAGCCTCTCCCGCCAGGAATGCAAGGGAWGGAGGGGGAAGAGGCAGCTTGATCCCAATCCGAGATTCCTGATCCCGATCTGGAATTCCCAATCAGGGAGCAGCCCGGGGCGCTGCAGGAGCCGCCGGAGCGATGGGAGCCGCGGGCAGCCGGTGCAGGGGGCTCCTCCTTGGCCTCCTCCCCACGCCGGGCGCGCGGAGCCGGTGCCAGGCGGGCGCAGGTGCCAGGCGGGCGCGGAGCCGCCGCAGAGGCCGGTTGTGTTTCCAGGCGGTGAATTATTGATCCCGCGCCGCAGCCGCGGGCGCTGCGCTCGCCCGGCGGCCCCGCGCGCCGGCTGCACCGATGCAATTACCGTAATGGAGAGCGGGCAGCGGCCGCGGAGCGGTGTCCCGTTGGAGGCGCGCGGGGAAGCGCCGGGGGGAGAGCTCCGAGCGCCTGCGGCCCCGGGGGATCCCCGCAGCACCCCGGGATCCCCAGGGCGGGAGCGGGGAGCCCCGCGGGCAGGAAGGGCCCTTTGCCCTGGGCAGCAGCGCCGTGGGCAGCAGGAGCGGCCCCGTGGGCAGCAGGAGCGGCTCCGTGGGGAGCAGGACCCCCGTGGGGCAGCAGGAGTGGCTCCGTGGGGAGCAGGAGAGGCCCTGTGGGGCAGCAGGAGCGGCTCCGTGGGGAGCAGGAGAGGCCCTGTGGGGCAGCAGGAGCGGCTCCGTGGGGAGCAGGACCTGCCCTGTGGGGAGCAGGAGCAGCCCTGTGGGCAGCAGGAGCGGCTCCGTGGGGAGCAGGAGCGGCTCCGTGGGGAGCAGGACTGTCCCTGTGGGTGTCAGGAGCAGCCCCGTGGGCAGCAGGAGCGGCTCCGTGGGGAGCAGGAGCAGCCCCGTGGGGCAGCAGGAGCGGCTCTGTGGGGAGCAGGACTGTCCCTGTGGGTGTCAGGAGCAGCCCCGTGGGGCAGCAGGACCCCCATGGGCAGCAGGAGTGGTCCCGTGGGGAGCAGGACCAGCTTGGTGGGCAGCAGGACCTGCCCCATGGGGAGCAGGAGCAGCTCCGTGGGGAGCAGGAGAGGCCCTGTGGGGAGCAGGAGTGGATCCGTGGGGAGCAGGACCTGCCCTGTGGGGAGCAGGAGCAGCCCCGTGGGCAGCAGGAGCGGCTCCGTGGGGAGCAGGAGCGGCTCCGTGGGGAGCAGGACTGTCCCTGTGGGTGTCAGGAGCAGCCCCGTGGGGCAGCAGGACCCCCATGGGCAGCAGGAGTGGTCCCGTGGGGAGCAGGACCAGCTTGGTGGGCAGCAGGACCTGCCCCATGGGGAGCAGGAGCAGCCCCGTGGGGCAGCAGGAGCGGCTCCGTGGGGAGCAGGAGCGGCCCCGTGGGGCAGCAGGAGCGGCTCCGTGGGGAGGACTGTCCCTGTGGGTGTCAGGAGCAGCCCCGTGGGGGAGCAGGACTGGCCCCATGGAGCAGCAGGACCCCCGTGGGCAGCAGGACTGGCCCCATGGGCAGCAGGACCCCCGTGGGCAGCAGGACCATCCCCACGGCGGCTGCAGCCCCAGGCAGGACCCAGGATCTCTCCTCCCGGCTCCGTCCCGTTCCCGGGCACAAGGCAGAGGCTCCACGCGCTCCCTGGGGACACCCTTCGCCCCAAGGGAAAACTCTTCCTCAGCGGGAAGCCTTTTCTACGGAACAGCAGTTTTTAGAAAGCAAGGAGAACTGTGGGAATACTATAAACATTTTATTTATTGTTCTTTTTTTTTTCAAAAAGACAGGAAAATAATCTAGAGCATTTATTTATATTTTTAATAAAAACCTTTACATAATCCTCATGCATCAAGACCCGCACGGCGCCGAGGCGGAGCAGGGACGGGCAGAGCCGCCGGCGGAGCCGCGTGCGGGGCAGGGGCCGGGACAGCCCTGCTCCTCCTTCCAAAACGAGCCCCTTCCCGGGCAGCGCTGGGCATGGGGAGCCGGGCACTCGGTGGCCCTGGGGGGTGGCACCGGTGCCCACGTGTGACACGAGAGCTGGAGAAAGCACCGGTGCTGCCCGGGGGTGCAGGACGCGGCCGGGGCGGCCACCCGGGGCACCCTAAGGCACGCGGTGCGCGGGCAGCGCCCCGGGCGGCTTCGTTTTGGGGAGGAAAGATGGAGAAACGAGCAACAAGAGACTCACGCGGTGCAAGGCGGCTGGGGAAGAGGCTGCTGCAGACGGGGGCTCTCGGCCCCTGTCCCCAGGGCAAACTTTTAAACCAAGCTGCACTCGAGTCGCGCCGCGTCCCGGCTCGGGCGCCGCGCACGGGGGACCCCCGGCCGCGTCCCCGAGCGCCGCGGGAAGGAGGCGGCGGGCGCGCGGGCACCACGTCACCCGCAGGCGTTCTGCAAGAGGCGCTTTATTGATGGCAGCACGGAGCGGGGCCGCGGGCGCCCGCCGCAGAGGTGGCACCGGGGCGCCGGCCGAGGCGCTGCAGCCACCAAAGCCCTCGGCGGGACGGGCCCCRCGCGCGAGGGTGAGTGTGGGCGGCGGGGAGGAGGAAGGGCGCGGGCGCCTCAGGGCACGGCGAGCTCCCGCAGGTAGGACTGCGTGAGGCTGCGCAGCTCCTCCAGCGCGTAGTCCTCGGGCAGCGGCAGGCGGCCGATGTGGGGTGCCAGGAGGCGCAGGGGCACGCGCTGCGCGGCGGCGCTGGCGGCGTCGGCCGCGGGCTCCGGCGCGTGCTGCACGCTCAGCACCACGCGCAGCAGGTTGGCCGTGCGCTTGGCCATGTCTGCGGAGAGGCGGCGTCAGCAGCGGGCACGGCGCCACGCGGTGCCGGCCACGAGCTCGGCCCGAGCAGGGACCCGGGGAGCGTCACCACGTGGTGCCATCCAGGAGCTCTGCCCTTGTGGGGCAGGAACCCAACCCGGGACCCAGGGGAGCATCACCACGCGGTGCCAGCCACAAGCTCTGCCCAACCAGGGACCAAGGGGACCGTCACCACGCGGTGCCAGCCACAAGCTCTGCCCAACCAGGGACCAAGGGGACCGTCACCACAAGGTGCCAGCCACAAGCTCTGCCCAACCAGGGACCAAGCGGACCGTCACCACACAGTGCCAGCCACAAGCTCTGCCCAACCAGGGACCAAGGGGACCGTCACCACGCGGTGCCAGCCACAAGCTCTGCCCAACCAGGGACCCAGGGGAGCATCACCATGCGGTGCCAGCCACAAGCTCTGCCCAAGCAGGGACCCAGGGCAGAGTCACCACGTGGTGCTGGCCACGAGCTCTGCCCTTGTGGGGCAGGAACCCAACCTGGGACCCAGGGGAGCGTCACCACGCAGTGCCATCCCCAAACTCTGTCCATGTGGGGCAGGAACCCGAGCAGGGACCCAGGGGAACATCACCACGCGGTGCCAGCCACAAGCTCTGCCCGAGCAGGGACCCGGGGCAGTGTCACCAGGCGGTGCCGGCCACGAGCTCTGCCCTTGCGGGGCAGGAACCCAACCAGGGACCTAGGGGAGCGTCACACGGTGCCATCCACAAGCTCTGCCCAACCAGGGACCCGGGGAAGCGTCACTAGACGGTGCCGTCCCCAAGCTCTGCCCATGAGGGGCAGGAACTTGAGCAGGGACCCGGAGAGCAGCACTGGACGGTGCCATCCACAAGCTCTGCCCGTGTGGGGCAGGAACCCAACCAGGGACCCGGGGAGAATGTCACCAAACAGTGCCATCCACAAGCTCTGCCCAACCAGGGACCAGGGGGGAGTGTCACCAGACGGTGCCGTCCCCAAGCTCTGCCCGTGTGGGGCAGGAACCCGAGCAGGGACCCAAGGGGGGCTCTGGACACCCCCAAGCCTTGGTCTTGTGTGTGCACACAGACCTCCTCTAGGAGGGCCATCAACATCTGGGCTCCCTCCTTGGAGCCGGTGCCCTCCTGCTCACACGGAGCCGTGCCACCGTGCAGGGACGAGGCACCTCCGTGCTGAGCACGGGGCAGTTGTGACAGAGCGGCCACCGACGGCAACAGAGCTGCCCGGGCTGCCCTCCTGCTCCGGTGGGCACGAGGAGCAGCAGCGGCTGCCACCGGGGGCAACAGTGGGGTGAGGTTATGGGCCTGGCCTCCCCGGAGCCGCGCGGGCACCCGTGTCACCCTACCTGACTGAGCCAGGCGGTCCTTGGCGTTGTGACACTGGATCTGCTCGATCCGGTTGCACAGCGACGTCACCGTGGTGTGCAGCCGCTCCAGCTCGTACGTGGAGCAATCCAGCTGGAAGCACAGGGAGGACGGTGAGGCTGAGGGTGCCCTGCGCAGGGGGGACCTGGGGGCTGCCCATGGCCACRAGGACGGATCCATATGGCCCAGGGCGACACGATAGGGTTGGCTTGGTGCTCGTGTGTGACGCGTGTGGTGCCAAGCGTGGAGCACCCACGCTTTGCACAAACCGCATTAAAGGAGGGGAGGATGTTCATGAAGGGAGAATGCAGGGAAGAAGGGGACAAGCTCTTCTCATTGGTGGCCAGTGACAGGACAAGGGGAAATGGGTGCAAGCTGAAACACRGGCAGTTCCATCTCCAGGTGAGGAGGAACCTGCTGGAGGACCTGCTGGAAAGCAGCTCCACGGAGAGGGACCTGGGAGTCCTGGTTGACACCAAGTTAACCATGAGTGAGCAGTGTGCCCTCGTGGCCAAGAAGGCCAATGGGATCCTGGCCTGCATCAGGAGGAGTGTTGCCAGCAGGTCAAGGGAGGTGATTCTGCCCCTCTACTCAGCTCTGGGGAGGCCGCACCTGGAGTACTGTGTTCAGTTCTGGGCACCCCAGTATAGGAGGGACGTGGAGCTTCTGGAGAGGGTCCAGAGAAGGGCAACCAGGATGATTAAGGGAATGGAACATCTCTCGTATGAAGAGAGGCTGAGTGAGCTGGGCCTGTTTTCTCTGGAGAAGAGACGGCTCAGAGGGGATATGATTAATATGGATAAGTTCAGGAAGGGAGAATGCAGGGAGGAAGGGGACAGGCTGTTCTCACTGGTGGCCAGCGATAGGACGAGGGGTAATGGCCACAAGCTGGAGCACAGGAAGTTCCGTCTCCAGGTGAGGAGCAACTTCTTTACTGTGAGGGTGACAGAGCAGTGGAACAGGCTGCCCAGGGAGGTTGTGGAGTCTCCTMCTCTGGAGGTCTTCAAAACCCGCCTGGATGCCACCCTGTGCCACATGCTSTAGGTGTGCCTGCTTGAGCAGGAAGGTTGGACTAGATGATCTGTAGAGGTCCCTTCCAACCTTAAATATTCTGTGAATCTGTGAATTCTGTGAATCTGTGAACTTCTTCATTGTGAGGGTGCCAGAGCCCTGGCACAGGCTGCCCAGGGAGGTTGTGGAGTCTCCTGCTCTGGAGGTCTCCAAAACCAACCTGGATGCCAACCCGTGACCCGTGCTCTGGGTGTCCCTGCTGGAGCAGGAAGGTTGGACCAGAAGATCCCTTCCAACCTTGAACATTCGGTGATTCTGTGATTGAGCACAAAGAACCACGACAACGAGCACCAAACAGCGAGTAAAGGGTCGCTCTGAAAACACGAGCCAAGTTTCCAAGCTGCAGGGAAGGACACAGAACCGATCCGGGCCGCTACCTGTTGAATCCTGTCGAGCATCTCGGTAACACGGATGTAGTCGAGATAGACCAGCCCGGCCACCTCCCAGTCCTGGATGAGCGCGCTGCGTTCCGGAGCGGACAGCTCCTCCAGGAAGCCTTTCAGGTATTTGTAGTTCTCGTTAATAATGGCATCTAAAAAGAGAGGAAACGGGTGAAAATCCTCTTTTGCTCCCAAATGTTGACACACCAGCCATCCTGACCGCTAATGGCCTGTACCCACAGGGGCGTTTGCAGCTCTGGGGCTCTAGTGGAAACGTTTGTCCATCCATGACCTAGTTGTCCCCCAAGACCCCACTTCCTAAGCAGGGAGAGCAACAGGAGGGGGAATCAGGGAACCCTTGTCCCTCGAGGCCACTCTGGCACGGAGAGGTGGCTGTGAAGAAGGTTAAGACTCTCCACACACGCAGTGAGGAACCTTCCAAGTGGGCAACACAAAGCCATCCTGAGCGGCCAGCAGCTTTTGTCSCCCTTCTCTTGATGGCTGCTGTGCAGGGGACAGGGCAGGGGGCAAGGCCCAGTCTCACCTGAGGCCAAGTGCCTGACGACCAGCTTGTGACACTGGTTCCAGTGGCCGGCCTTGAAGAGGAAGAGGGCTTCCTTGTGCTGGTCGCCCTCGGCCCGCGCTCGCACCGCCTTGGCCTCGTGCAGCCACTCGGGGGGCACGCGGAGCCTCTGCGTCAGGAAGGCCTCCTTGTTCCACGATTCGGGCGTCTCCTGGAGGCTGCAGTGCCGGCTCAGGAGCTCGCGCACGGCCCTCTCCCGGGTGCTGTGGAGGAGCAGGGAGAAGGTGTCACCGCGGCGGCGAAGTGCCCGCTCCCAAACGCTCCAAATGTCCTTGCCTGCTCCAAAAC